CTAGAGTAATATCTTCCTTTTTGTGCATGAGCTTATTCCGAAAATCCTTCCAAGATAGAGGGAGTTTTGTAATAATAACCCCTACATGGAAGTTCTTATCAAGAGACATTCCAGCAGCAATAATATCATTTGCTATGAGTTGAAATTTCTGTGCTTGCTCAAAGATTGACCTTCCATCTTCAATCTTGAAGCCCACATAATTAGAAGCCAAGAACTTTTTGGTACAGGCCTCCTCAATTGTGTAGACTAATTTGAGAATGTCCCACAACTCTTTGGCGGTCTTGCATTTCTTCGAGTATTGATCATAAAAGGTGTTGACCATACCGCTAAGGATATGATTACGACAAAAGTAATCATCGTCAATCCACCTTAAGATCTTCTCGTTGATCGAACTAACTTGATCAGACGGCGTCTTGTCTCTTGGAGGAGTTGGACATGGCGCAGTCAAGACATAAGCAATTTTCAATTGTTGAAGTAAAAATTCCATTTTTCATTTCCAACGAAAGTAATTTTTACCATCAAAAGCCTCGATATTCGGTTGAAAAACCGAAGAAATAACGTTGGACAGCAACGATCATGAAGCCATTGAAGAGAAAACTATCTTCAAATTGTTGAAACCAATATATTAAAACGGGGAATATCGAGGCTTAGAGGCGCGTAATCGCTTCTTGAAGATAGTTGAAGCCTCTCCCACGTGCAACGGAAGACAAGTGGCAGCACTATCTTCGGGATTCAATTAAACCCAGATATCAAAACTGTATGTTCATGAAGGTTGCACTTCTTCTTCATAAACCTGTGCATTTATCTCCGTCCGATCAACAGAAAATATGAAACTCACACACTCAAACTCAATAATTTGAAAAAACACTTTTCAAATATCTTTTAATTAACTCTAACTAGTTTAGAGAGAGTGTATATTGTAGGATTCGTAAACCTACTATTTATACTAGTAGTAATGGGGATGTAATTAACTTAATATTAATGAAGGTATTTAATTTTCATAAATAACATATAAGTTAAAGTAAGTTAATACATTAAATGAAGAAAACTTTATTTATAGTTTATTAAAACTTCATTAAGACATCTGTTGGAATTTTAGGAAATTAATAAGTAATTAATTTGAAACACATAACTCCAACAGCTTATGGATCAGTTAGTAAGGCAAGTTATTTTGTATGTTTTGCACTCAACTTCCTTTGTGACCGGAGATACCTCAAGGCTTGAGATAACAAATAATAACGCCACTATAGCTCTTAATCCCATGAGGAAGAATGTGTCATCCTAATTAGAGAACATTATGCTAGCACTAACATAGCCTATTGGTAATGAGTTAGTTAGCCATTAACACTCGATAATAATAAGACCAAACAAGGCGTGAGCTTAATAAGAAATAGAGTAATGCTATTTAGACCTATTTTCCAGGTTGAGTGTAGCTAAAAGGTTTGAATCCATTTGATGAAGTGGATCTTCCACTCCATTAAAGGGATAAAAACCCCTTCAGCCACACAACAAGCCTTAGAAAATCGGTTAAACATATAATTATCCTAATAAATAATAAGTTAGTTGTCCAAGGAATGAATTATGACATGAACAATAGATACAGACATTTATCACATTATTAGAAAATTAAACAAGATAATTTAACATTTACTAGCTTTAAATGAGATGAGTTAAAGATAGAGACACTCACTCTCCAAGACTCTGCCTTGAAGAAGACCATAAGGAACAGCTCCAAGTTATCTCCTTCGACCCAAACATGTCCCAATGGAACCTTCAAACAAACAAGTGGTGTGCATAGAGTAATTAGTACAGAAATGGAAATCATTAACATAATGCCCAAAACCAGAAGATCAAAATAAACTCTGGCATTGATCATACAACTGCAGTTTCGCATCTATCACTGCTATTGGGGTCCACAACGTAAGTAATACGATCATCCTCCATGTCCATCACGGGCTTGGTGACAATCTTTCTAGGGTTTTCAGGTGGCCGGATGAGGCCGACACCGCCGGTACCAACTTTACCAAATCAGGACGAGATTCATTCGGCCAGAATCATATCACCGGTAAGATTGAAGGTAGGGAGCATACTGGGACCGTACACCTGCAACACCAGATTATTTCCATTCTCACAATTTATTTGATTTGATTTTTTTTTGTTTTGTTTTGTTTTGTTTTGGTGAAAAAATAGTTACCAGAGCGGTGGTGAAGAAGTTTGCTAGTTTGTTCCAAACTTCTAAATTCCAATGCCTTCTTTCGGCTATGTTAGCCCATTTTCGGAGTGGATGAAAGAGGACACATTTGTTTACGCAGTGGATGTAATAATTTTAGGTTAATAAATTTTTTTTTTTTTTTTTTTTTTTTTTTGTATAAGAGATAGAGTTTGTATAATTCTGATTTGAGATAGTTATTTTTTATTTTTATCTTTAAGAGCATTTCGACCTTATAATACTAGCATCATTTAAGTTAAGAGTACGATTCAAAAATGAAATATCAAGAATTTATTTTCGAATCGCTGTTAACGCAACTATGTCCCTTGGACAAAATAGTAAATTGATTTGTCCCCAGTGTCCCTAGTTTATTTTTGTTTTTCAGGTAAAAAATACTAGAGCTATTATACATTTATTATTGTATTAATTTGTGCCATTATATACTAATTTTTTTAAAAATAAATAAATAAAAGAGCAAGTTACACCAATTCTTCTCTTAGAATTTTTTTTATTCAACATTGAACTTTTCACAACCACAACGCAACTCACATTAAACTTACTTGTATTTAACTTACTTTGCAATTGCAATTCCAAACCATATTATAAAATCCGAAAAATAAATAAATAACTAAACACGTATGGTGTGCACACATTCATGTACAAATTCTGCTAAAATAAGAATATCTATGAAATAACATTATTCGTTTAACTTTGAGAACATAATAAGAATTAATAAGATCCTATATTCATTACCAATTTCACTAGTACACATTTTTTTCTTTCCAAGAGCAGCAATGAAAAAGAAACCTCCATCTCATTAACATTCCTTTTAACTCCTTATCGAGCCCCACCATTGATTCCTTCAATTTCTTAAGCTCATGCAAGACGAACTTTTAGTTAAGTTGATTCACTTTAGCCTCCTAGACACCTAGAGAGACTCATATATAAAGCTCAAAAAGCGTTGCATGACAAATTCGACATTAAGGTTTTCATAAGAGAAGGGCTTGCCTCCCGGGGATAAAGTAATAGTAGCAATCTCAGCTGAAATATAAAGCTCATTTGCTTTATCGTAAAGTCCAACTATTTGCTTTGAAAACATGACTTGCCTCGAGCTGTTCCTAGATATAGTCTTCATTTCAACTTTTTATCTACTCATTCTGTGTCTCCTTTCTTGTCTATGACATGAACTTAGAAGGTCAGAGGAATGTAATTTTTTACTCGCAGAGACTAAAAGTGATTCACATGTCACACAACTAAGCAATCAAACATTAATGCTTTCAGAGGAAACTTATTTATTTTTTGGACAAAGACACCCCTGAATGTTTAAAAATAAACAAAGACTAAAAGTGATTCACATGTCACACAACTAAGCAATCAAACATTAATGCTTTCAGAGGAAACTTATTTATTTTTTGGACAAAGACACCCCTGAATGTTCAAAAATAAACAAAGACTAAATGTCTCAAATATTTCCCCAAAACTTTATAAAATTTACTCATATATCATTGTATCAAGGATGGCCTTCATTGATGTTCTATCACTTTACCAGTTTACCCTTTATTAGTTTAACTTGAATACTATCAAAGTTTATAAATTATAACTAAAAATAAAATTAATGGGTATTATTTATAAGAATAATAAATAAATAAATAAATCTTAACTGGAGTAAGGCTGACGGCTGTCCTCCAACAAAATTCCTACATTTAAAATTAAATGTGATTTTTTCTCTTTATTTTCCAAAATTAAACATCTTTTTTATTTGTTTGAAAAAAAAAAAAACAAAAAAAAAATTGTAAGTAAAAAGTCATAACTTTCTAAGGTTATCCTTAAATTTTAAAACTGTTTTATAAATTTATCAATGCAAATCTCTTTGAAAGTTAATTTGGAATTTCAAAGAAACATATGCATTTAATAATATTTAGTTGTAAAAATGATATTCACATTCATATGCATTTACTTGTGCTTTACTTTTATATATCAGCATGAAAGTATATGATTTACCCTAGAAAAAAAAAATTCATTTTTGAAAGTAAATTTTGAGTGCAAGTGGAGTAAATTGAAGGGTCAAAATCACAATATTTTAAAAAATTATTTGTGATTGACTTTTTTTTTTTTTTTTTTATATAACAAATTTATAAAATCATATGTTATTTGGAATTTTTAATTTATTTTATATCATGATATTCACAATCATATGTCCACTTCCTGTCTTCCACTTCATAATATTTGGAGTTTGGTAAGATTACATAAACAGTTAAGATTTTATTGACTTAAATTTGGGGTAGGTTTTACCATTTTTCTACTGAAATCAAATCTCCAATTCTGCATCAACTAGTTTTGGCACTCAATATCTTGACATGTGGCAAAAATGATTTGCCCTTTTTTTTTTTTTTTTTTTTTTTTATGTACAATCACAATAGGATTCTATATATATATATTTTTTCAAGTGGTATCACTAATTAATTCAGCGCCTAATAAAAAATTAACCGTGAAAATCGAATCCAAGTTCATAATCTTACCGAGCTTGAAGTTTCTTAGATTGAATATGTTATTTAAAAACACATTTTAGTGCATTGCTTATTTTTTGAAGTTAAAATAAATATATATTTGTTACCCGTAACACTCTCAGGTTTACAAATTTAGTGTATAACTCAAATTCTCAATCTTGGTTACTCACCAACTAGTACCTTTATCAATTGAAACTTAAGACACTATTGCTGTTAGTTACTCACCAACTAGTACCTTAATCAATTGGAATATGCTGATTAAACACACAATCTATTGCATTACTTTAGTGTATATTTAGTTATGAAACTCAAACATATATAAGTAATTAACATGTAAGTTTACCAAAATATCATTAATCCTTAACTAAAAAATATATATATCATTAGTCCTCATCACCACTAGAGCCAGCATCATCCTCGGCGGCATCATCCGCAACGGCATCATCCTCATCGGGCGGCATCATTCCCATCACCGCCGGCATCATCCATGGCGGCATCATCATCCGCGGCGGCATCATCCATGGCGGCATCATCCGCAACATCTGAGGCGTCATCAGAATGCTCGAAGAGACCATCATCGTCATCAGATTGAACGTCCAGATGAATAAGTCTAACTCTATCCTCCTCAAACACAGGTTTACAATTTTGAGGACAAGCTTGTGGCACCAGAGGATCGTTAAATAGCTCATTAAAACATCCATCATGCAAGAAATGTCCACCGCTTATGAGATGTACCATACCTTCCCTTATTTCTTCACTGCAGAGAATGCAATCTGGAGCAGCGGTGCCAAGTACGGCAAATTCGTGATCTGCATTCGGAATAGGGTCGCTTGGAATCACCTGGAGATGCATAAGCCTCGAACTCGATCGTGCCAATGGTTTACATTTCTACTACAACAATCGAAATGATAAATATGACGGCATGCACACTGGTGTCGAATTATTCTATCACCGGTAATAAAAGATTGTAGACAAAATTCACATTCAACTTTATCATCTCGTAATTTTAGGAGCTCATCTACTGTCAAACTATTTTCCTGCAATTCAATATAGTTGACTTTAAGTTGAATTAAAGAATGTAAAATGGTGGTGGACTACTAAAGCATGACAATAGAGGGACCAAGAAATTCTTTCATAGTGAACCAAGGGTCAAATGCATGTAGGGAAGCGTTTAAAATAACATGTCAAAAATTAATAAGAAAATTATTTTTATTTAATTTTAATATTCTTTTAGTTCATTACATTGTTACCACAATCAAACACCAAAAAAAATTAAATTATTATTATTTTTTTACATCTGTGTGTTAACAAACAGCGCCCAAATGTCTTTAAAACTTGTTATATTGTCTAATTTGCAAAAAAGAAAAGAAAAATACATAAGGATGGATTCGTATCATGTTGCCAAAGGAGTCCAATTTTGTCACCAACACTTGAATTTAAATTTCTTTATCAATACTCGTGGTATTGTGCAATAAATGCAATTTACAGAAAAGGATAAAAAAATAAAAAATAAAAAATAACCGAAAAATGATAGTGATGAATTAATAATATAACTACTATAAGCAATGCAAGTTGGATTTGGTTGATGTAATATGTAGGTTCCTGTGAACCAACAATTATACCGACGGAGAAATGATTTCTTTATTCATATATAATTATATATAAAGACAATGCAACTTTTATATATATATATAAAAAATAAAAAATAAAAAAAAGGGGACAACACAAATTTGAAAATAGCAAGTCTTCATAAATAAACTGATGAAAGAAGAAGAAAAAAAAAACAAAAGTTGATGAAACTGATGAGAAGTTCAAAATGAAAACGCAGCATTCATCAATAATATCATAGAAACCAACTCTTGATTAACCAACAAGCAAAGGTGTGAAGAACATAGTATAATTTTCCATATTATATTATATATGTATGTTTGTGTGTGTATGAGCATCTAAATTAATAATTAATATGAAAAGGTAATCAATGAATCTCACCCAAACCATGATCCAGTCCAATGGACCTAGCTACCTGCAAAACACACAATAAAATGAAATATCAGAACAATGGCCCTTGGAATGGGGACACAATTAACAAAAGGAAATATGTATTAGTAAGGGAAATATAGAGACAACTTTACCAGAGTCAATTGTGAAACAAAGGTCACTCACGAAAGCTTCATTTCATAAAGGCAATATGTGTCTTCTAATAGAATAACCCATCCCATTCCGTGTGAGTGTTATTCTCATAACATAATATGTGTGGGGCATGCAAAATAAGGGTTTGTGCTTGACTTATTCTCAGAATATAATATGCGTGTTGTCCTTCATCTACATTTTTATAAATAAAATACAGGATGGTTCTAGTGGTTGGACAATGATAGTGTCATTGATACAATGTAATGTTTATTAATTTTTGTAAGATCTGGAACAGTCTATGGACAAAGTGAAAACAGCTAAACACTTATAGGCGTTACTAGAAGGGTTTGCTGGGATAATTTTGAGACGCACATGTAGTTCTAGATTTGTTGGACAATTATATGAAAAAAATAAATAAATAAAAATCCTTAAAATAACTGTGAAAATAGGTGATACTATGTACTTTCTTTACAAACTTATGAAAAATTAAATTGATCTGTTAACAACTTTATGAAAATCATACTGACAACAAAAAATTCAATTTGGAACACTGATTTTTTTACATTATATTGTGTAATTCCTAAGTCACAATTTTTACTCTACCAAACATAGTTTGCGAGAGTTTGCAATTTTTTTGTTAATTTTTTAATTTTTAATTTTTTGAAACTAGATATTTTAGTGTAACAAAATTAACTTATCAAAATATATATATATATATATATATATATATATAACAAAATTATGTCTTACAAGGTACGGTATTCTATTTTAGGAGGGCAATGACAATCTCAATAAGTAAATGCTTCTCCAAAAGTCTTTCCTAACATTGTGATCGACTATGTACAATTCTTGCCCTCAGTGCAAAAAAAAAAATATGATGCATCAATTCTTAGGTCCCTAAATTGCAATATTCTCCAGTGTCTGTTTAGATGTCCGTTGGATTTGAATGCTAACGTTCATATTTTACAATCCATTTCCACTTGGCAACGTTCATTATATTGAATGGTGGTTCATTTTACAAAAATGATTGACGGAGTTGAATAAAAAAGCACTCTACTTTTAAAATGAAATGCATCACTGTCCCTACCCCCTATTTTTGTTTATTATAAATAAATATATAGTGTTCTGTCAAACAAAAATAAAGCGTGAAGATAATTTTAAATGCAAGACAATTACATAATTGTCAAAAATAAAGCCAAAAGTCAGTTGTGTGTTCACAACACATTTCAATTTAAAATTTTCTCAATCTGTTCTGTAAATCTAGCATAAAACCCAAATCTGTTCAAGCAGCATAAGAAACATCATCAACTCAGGACGAGAATTTAATCAAGTTTTAGAGTACACAATCAGTTTTAGTGTCCCAGGGCTGGCTTCGCAATGCCTCTCTTTTTTTTTTGGCAGATTGGGATCCACATGACCCCACACACTGTGAGAGTAAAGGTATCAGTTGGTCACATAATTCGAATGTGTAACCTGATCATATGAACTACTACTATCAACAAAGCCTCTATTTTGTATACAAGTAAGAAGAAAAATCAAAACAATAAGGAAAACTACCAAAAAAAAGAATTTAATCAAGTGAACTCTATAATGCTGCCATTGGACGAGATCTGGTATGCCAAATGCTTGAGCTAATAGTAACTCACGGTATTCTTACAAATAGGCGGATCATTACCAGCCATCAGTCATGTGTGCTCTGTTTTGGATGCAGCTTTCAGTTTCACCAGCTGCTTCTGAAGATATGCCTGCTTTAGTTTCTCCCGATGAGCTGCACTCACCTTTTGTCTATGCAATTTGAGCTCAGACGCTTTTTCCCTTGCTTGGTTAGCTTCTTCATGGACTTCCCTGATGGAAACCACACGCACAATAGTCAAACGGATGGGCCTCAGTAGCATAAGACCTCAGCGATAGTAAGATAAAGACGAAGGAATAGCTTTATATTAAAGCATGTAGAAAGCATCATGTAAAATAAATCCAAAGATTGAAAATAATTATGTAATTTTATGTGAGATATCAGATTCTTTGCTTCTGTTATTAGATATGTAGGAATTGTTATGCTACATTATCATTCACAATATTGTATTAACATCTTTGTAGGGTTTTGCTTCACAAATACACATAGACATGTCCAACTGTTCTACAAAATATTCTTAGTTGCTTTGCCCAAAATTATGAAGAGAGTTTTACCATATCAGCATTCATGGTAAAAGTGGGGTATAATGTATGTATCATATGACTGGCTGATCTAAGAGACTCTGGTGTTGAATCTGTGTTTCAGTACCTATCATGAATGAAGTTATTCTATCGTCTCGAGAAGGGCATCCGAGCAGGAGGCGAAGAACAGATGGTAGGGGCCGTGGGTGAACCGTTGAACTCCAGCCACCAAAGAAGCAGCCGTGCAGAAAGTAAAGAAACAGGCCTCTCTCCAGCGACTACTTAGGTATTATGTGCAATTCTCAACCCATGTTTCACCACTATTCAAGAGCACTAATTTAATATTCAAAGACTTTCTGAGGGAATTTTCTAATTTACCGAGGAGGTGGAGGAGGGGACATTTTCTTGGTTTGTTTTGTAGTCAAAATTCCTCAATGGAGTAAACAACATAGATTTCACTCCGAGAATGTTCCTTCTGTATTTGCTAAATAGAAACATGAAGATTAAGCTGTAGCAAGGTAGTAACCATGGCCTTGCTTAAAGCATTGACAACCTTCCATGTATCAATCTGTATGTACAAGACCAAGGCAAAGTTCTGCACTCGGCTCACAAGCTCAACCAATCAAAGAGTTAAGGTGTGGCTCCCAGCCGATTGACCTAAACTCAAAACTATCAAACACAAAATGCCACTCGAAGCTGCATGGGTTGCATCTTGCCAGCTATTAACATAAAATATTTACAAAATCAAGTAATCCAGCGATGTGATATCATACATTTAGTGTGAGGCCCCACTCCAGAATCAAGAATAAAATATTTGTGGAAGCCCATGCTCGTGAATTTTGGTGGGCGGTTCCCTTTTGTGTTTGGTGGTGCATTTGGAAGGAGCGGAAAAGAAGATCTTTCAACACGGATGAATCTTCCATCGGGACTTTGAAATTTCTTATCACTAGCTCTCTTTTTAGTTGGGTTATGGGGAGAAATTGTAAATCTATAGAGGAGATTGTTGATTTTTTGGGTTCCTTGGGTCCGTAGGATCCTTTCTTTGGCTTCCGCCTTGTACAGTCCCCGGGAAGCATTCCTCTTTTGAATTTTTCTAATATAATTTTATTTATCAAAAAAAAAAAATCTCTTTCCAATCAATCATTTTATCCTCAGATCTAATCCAATATCCTTTATGCTTAAAATCCCATAATATATAATTTCTTCTACCTTATTTCTGAAAGAACTTCAACTTTTCTCTGCTTTATAAATTAAATTTCCTTAAGATCTTGGATGACTTACATTACAAAATCCAAAATACAAACATGCACTTAAGCATAAGTTGTAAATTGTAATGATAGATGCTAGAATCAGTCCTAAGACCTAACAGTTACTGTTCACATCTGGTCTGGTCTTTCCAGTTAAAGAATGAATTTAGGCAAGCCGCTCCTAAACCAAGCATGAACAGCTCAGTTCTGATTTTATTTGAGAATAGCATTAATATAAAATAAATATATAATGCTCAAGAACAGATGGATCAGTGGTACCTTTCTTTTTTATGACAGCCAACACCAGTATACATGAGCCCTAGGCAATTAGTCAAGTCAGGTTCCATCCGAAAAACAGTTTGAGCATGAGTCAAGTTAAATTCAAGCTGAACAAACTGCAACAGGGGAGAAGTTTCGCGAGGTTTTCAAAAAATTCAAGTCAATTAACAGTCTGAAAGAATGAGATTCAACAACTATCATACCCAAACTCACAACCTTTTTATATTACCAGTCAAGTGAAAATCAGTAAGATGAGATTTTGCATTATAACATCTGTATCTGTTATTATTCATTACCAAAAAAATTGCACATTTCCAATATTCTAGCCGTGTTTAAATTTATTTTCTTAAAAAAATAACGAAAGGTATTATATATCTTTTCAAAAGGAATTCTAAAAAATATAACGGATGAGTAGTAGAATAATAAAAATGCAATATGGTCGCGGTAACGGTTAATGGGTTGCACAGCCTGTCCCAAGCTGAATTGGTTCAACCAATGGAAGATCTTCATCTAATACAAAACCATGTAACCCCTACTCCCTCATCTTGGTTGAGGGTTTCTATAATCATCTACTGTATATACAGTTTAGAACTCTAGTCTAATGTTTCACTTAATCCCATTACTGCTCAGTAGAACATTTGCAACATACTATATGTAAACTAGGATATTAAGAAAGAATAGAAATTTACCCTACAAAACGCTTATGCTCAACCCTGTCCATCGTGCCAGCTGTCCGGCCAAGCCCCACAGGTTTTGTGTTAAGCAATCCAGAAACATCATTGTCACCATCTTCATTTGCTGGTGATTCTGTGGCAGAACTATCACAACTTTGTGGCTGCCGTGAGTCATCCCGCATGAGGCTTTTCTGGAAAAAAATCAATGCAATATTTCTCGTCTTCCTCATCAGAAAGTTCTCCCCTTGCAAGCTTATCATATAACTCAGCCTTCCTCTCTACTGCTGCATAGCTGACAGATCCATCATTGACTGCTTTCAGCTCAAGCTTGAAACTGGAATTAAACGGAATGAAAGTTTCATCTAAGCGAAAGTCAAATCAAAATCTAGAGCCACTTAAATTATCACTTACCATGCATGATAAAGAAAAAAAAAAAAAATTACCATAATGTCTAAAAAAAAAAAAAAAAAAAAAAAAAAAAATTTGGGAAATAAAAAAACCTAAATAAAGAAAGAAAAAGGAGAAGATCCTGCTTAAAAAGTA